GGGGGCGGTGCGCCGTTTTCGCCCCGCCCCGCCGCCTGCCCGGGGGCCGGGAGGGGCCTGGGCTCGGCGGAGGCCCAGGCGGCGTTTGGGCTGCCCCGGGGCACCCAGGGCCGGCTTCGCCCGGCGGGAGAAGGGGGGCGGGGAATAGGGGGAGGGGAAAAGCGACTGAGGGGCGGCGGAAAACGAAAGCGGCAAGGCGCGCCGAGGGGGCCGGCGCTGGGATGGGTTTTGGCGCGGCGCAGCGCGACACCTCTTTCGGCGGCGGCGGCATTCTCTACAACAGTTTTTCATTTTGCTTTATTGGATGTGAAAGGGTCCATCGTCGGAAAAGGTCGAGGGGTCGTATGGAGGCAACAAAAGTAGGTCCAGGAGCGGTTTCCGAGACGGCGTAGAAGGCGAACACCGTGACGCTGGCGCTCGCTTAAAGAGCGAGAAAAAGAAAAATAAGAAAATGCAGCAGTTGTACCTGGCGGCGGCGTTCCGCTCTTCTCCCAACGTCGCAGCGCCGTCCTGCCGATTTGTGTAAAGAAAAAGGATATTATGAAGAGTTTCTTTTGATTTCTACAGCTTCAAGTCCTTGAACAGGGTGGACTGAAGCAACGAGCCCGTGAGGATGACGCTGATGGCGGCGACGAACAGGTCGTCCGCGTACGTCACGGTGTACTGCACCGCGGTGATGAGGACTTGTATCGCTGCCGCGCACGCAGACACACGACTGAATCGGACGCGACTATCTGCACGATGCTCGCCGTCGCATCGGTGGGGTCAGACACAAAGATGGGCAGCACGATGTACGTGAAGATGGTGGCGTGCAGCACGGCAATGCGCAGCCCAATCACGAAGGGCAGCCACCGCGCGTTGGTCACCGCACGCAGACGCAGCACCCACCGATCCAGCAGCGAGTGCTTCCTCGCCCCGCAGAAGCCGCCGTTGTACTTTTGGAGCAGAAGAACGTCGTCGAGGGAGGGCGTGCAGTTTCCTACCCGCACCGGACACATCAGCTCGACGGGCTGCCGGCACAGCGGACACTTGAGCTGGCGGTACACCCCGGTGTACTCCCACAGCTGCACAACGCAGTGGGCGCAGAACTCTTGATGCCCACACGGCAGCAGCGCCACCGGGTGCTCTACCGCGGAGGCGAAACAGATGGTGCAGCTTCGAGCGTTGGCGGCGTGCGAAGGCGAGGGTGCGCGACGCTGCGGGTGCTGGCAGAGCATCAGCCCGTCCGCTGCCTTCAGCGCTGCGGCGTAATTCGGCACGGCGTCCCAGCTCCGCGCCATGCGCACCCTCTGCCGCCGCTGCCGCCGGTGTACCACGAGTCGTGCCAGCCACAAGATGAGCAGCACCACGGAGAGGGTCGGCACCGCAACCTGCACAAAGTCGCGAGCGATCGAGTCGCCGTTGGACAGGCTGGAGAAGAGATCGAAGCTGGCCGGAAAGGTCGGGGCCACGGGGTGCGACGTGTTCGCGTACCGGGCCTGCGCAAACGTCAACGGCGGCGCCGGCCGGTGCTGCACTAGCTGCTTCATTTCGAAACCTCCTCGCTGATGGGTCAAGAAGAAGAAGAGCGAATAAATGAAACACCGAAAAACAAACAAACAAGTGAGGAGGAATATAGATACAAGAGTGCGCTTTGGGTAGTTTGTTGATGTGGGGCGGGCGGGAGGAATTTAGCCTTGAAGGCGCCAATGTTGACGGCCAAGGCAAAGGGCAAAAAGAGGAAGAAAAAGAAGAAAAAAAAAGGAAGACGACCGCACAGAAAGAAGCGTTTTTTTTTGTCTTACAAAAACAAACAAACAATAATAATAAAAAGAGAAAAACACCTGGACTCAAAACAGCAGAAGCTTCGCAAAGCAATTGAGAGGGCGAAGAAGCCGGTCGAATTCAATAGCAATAACAACAACAAAAAAAAACGTAAACGAGAGAGAGAGAGAGCGTGCTTGGGTGAGTGAGTAAAAGAATATATATATATATGCCTCACACACACACACAAACTCAAATACACATGAAAAAACTCTCCGATTCCTGTCTTGAAAGAAAAAAAAAACCAAATATATATGTATAAGCTGGAACTGCGAAAAGAGGAAAAGGAGGGCGATGACACGCTGAGGCACGCTGGTGAAGAGCGCTGTACAGCTGGAACGAAAATCCCAAATAATAATAATAAATAAATAACCAAAAACAGACCTTTTTTTGGGGGTTGCGCGCTTGTACTTCTCTTTCTCGCGAATGAGCGTGGAAGGAGGACACAACCAAGGAAAACAACGGAACCTATTAGAGGATAAACAAACAAAAAAGAGGCGGAACAATGCTCACAACACAATACGAGCAAGTCTACACACCTTCGCTAAAAAAGAAAGCAAAAAGCCCTTTAGCTGATGTAGCTCTCCTATACATTTGCACGTAATGCCGAGGAGAGACAATCAAGAAGAAAGGAAGCGACGAACACGAACCACAACACCAACAAACACAACCGCGGAAGGAGAATCAGAAACGAAGGCCGTGACACGTTACCCGCGCTTTCAACGTGAAGCAGTGAAGCGACGACGTGGGCGAAGCTGCAGACCAGCGCACGTGGGTGTCTGTAAAGGCAAGACGAAACAATCCGCAAGGAGCAAGAGAGAGGGAAGAACAACAACAACAACAAAAGAAGATGACGTCCACAATGCTGCCACACAGCCGTTGCAGTCGTTGGGATTTAAAGAGAAAAAGAACAAAGGAGACGATTACTACCAAGTAAATAAATTGAAGTCCGTCAATGGGGGTTGCGTTGAGTGCTTCTGAGTGGGTGTGCCCGCGATGGGTCGATGGACGTGGGGGGGGGGGGGAGGGGGGCGCATGCAAAATATGGAGAGGGAGAGTGAGACGGAGGGAGGCGAAGAAAGGATGAAGACAAGGTATGTCGCCGTTCGAGTAGATTACTAGTAATACTACTACTACTACTACTAATAATAATAAAGCGAGGGAGGTGAATAGATGGTGTCGATAAGAAAAAGGTTCACCAGAGACGGCGAGCAGGCCTTGAATGTCTCCCTTTCACGGAACAGTCTTTGCAGCGGAGTAGAGCGGCTTAACGAAGGCCCCCTTTAAAAACCTTTTCTCTGAATGAAATATCAAAAGCCTTTTTTGAGAAGTTGTTATCGTTGCCGGCTGCTGCTACCCGGACCGCAACAGCCGATCTCACAGACATCATTCAAGCGGACGCCACGAAGAGCCGGAAGAGCCAGCGCGGGGCCGTTTGTGGGGGGGGGCGGGCGCGGCGGGAGGGCAGCGAGGCATCCCTCCCGCTTACCTTCCACCCCCTCTCATTTTATCTTCTTTTTTGTAGATTTCATGGCACCACCGAAGACACGCTGTTGTGCGCCGGCGCCGCCACCTCCGCTGCCGCCACGCACTCACGCAGCCACGGATGTCGCAACGCCTCGTACGCCGTCAGCCGCTGCGACGGGTACTTCTCGAGCAACCCGCGCAGGAACGACGCGCCGAGGGCGGAGATGGGAGGCAGCGCGACATCAGCGACACACCCGGCGGCGTCCACTGTGCGACCGTTTGACGCGGACGCTGCTGCAGCCCCGTCATTTGCTGCCGTGGCCGCCTCCGTCGACACGTACACGAGACGATCCAGGTCCACCTCGGCGCGATGAAAGGCGCAGCCTTCCGCGTAGCTTGCGAGCGAGCAACTCAGCTGATGGACCGTGGTGGTGAACAACGAAATGGTCTCACGCTTGTTAGAATGCAATCTGCGCTTGTTGCTGCGGTCGTCGTCGGCGCGTCCGTCTTGAGCGCGACGCACACGAGCAGCCAGCGCCTCTGCGTGCACGCGCCACAGCTGCGTATGCGCCGTCGCGGCCATCGCGCTGGACTCTTTTCCAGTTGTCGCTGCCGTCGTGGCTGCGGCTGTGGTGGCCACGAAGTTCGACGGCAGCTCCGGCAGCAACGGCACTCGCACCGACTCCACAACCGCCAGTGGTGGCAGACAGGCCGAGGGCTCGTCCGCGCAGGCAGGCTGCTGCTGCTGCTGCTGCTGTGGTGGGGTGGGTGGATCACTCCTGTTGCGCTCCTGTGTGGCGGGTCGACGTCGACGCCGCTGAAACCGCAGCGGGGCGTCGTAGTCCACGACGGGCGGCCCGTCGGGTCGTCGGGGGTGCCGCTTCGATGGAAACGGCGCCCGCCCCGTCAGCAGCGCGTACGCGATGACGCCGACGGAGTACATGTCCACCGCGGCGCTGTAGCCGACCTTGTTGGGCCGCAGCGTGGGATGCGTCACTTCCGGGGCGGCGTAAATCGGCGTGCCGCAGCTCGTCGTCGCGTCGTTTCGGGCGTAGACGAGACGGACCCGCTCAGGCACTTCGGCGCCGTGCTCTGCGGCGGCGAAACCGTGCAGCGTCTCCGCTGTGGAAGACGGCCGAGTCTGCAGTTGGTCCAGCACACGGGACAGGCCGAAGTCGGTCACCTTCACCACCGGCCACAGCGCACGCGGGATGTGAACGGTGTGCAGGACGGAGAGGGGGTTGCAGAACTCGACTTCGGCGACCGCTGCGTTGGAACTCGGCGATGCGGGCGTGACGGGGCATTGCGTTCCCCTCAACGTGGAATGCTCGTAGTCACGTAGCTGCTGCAGCAACAACTGCAGCTGCAGCGCGTTCAGCGCGTAGCGGTCACACGGCCGGAGCAGCATCAGGTTCTCCAACTTCAAATCTCGATGAATGATGCCCATCGTGTGGAGGTACAGGACAGCTTCGAGAACCTGGACGATAATTAGCTTCACCAGGTACTCCGGGAGCGGGCCGCCGATCCCGATGAGGTCGATGTCGTCGTACGCCGGCGCGCCTTCGCCTTCGCTGGCCTCCGCCTGCGAGTCCTCGGCCGTTGCGTCGCACGCGGCATCACGTGCAACGCTTGATGGATCGTCCGCACGTGGCTGCTTCCGCGTCGCCCACCGGCTACGCTTTCGGCGCCTGTACGGCTGCAGGAGGTCCCAGACCTCCCCGCCGGTCGCCTGCTCCATGACGAGGGCGAGCTGATCCGGCTGGTCAAACACCTCAAACAGCGCCGTGACGTTCGGGTGGCGCACGGCGAGGAGGATGTTTATTTCACACTGCTGCCGGCGGCGGTGCTGCAGCTCCTTTTCGTAGGAGCGGCGAAGCGGCTCTGGCAGACAACGCAGCAGCTCGTGTCGCCGCTGCTCTCGCTGCTGTGCGTTGACACCTCGCTGCTTCCATAACACCCCCGCGTTGCTTTCCGTGGACACCCGTTCACTGTGCTTCCGACCCTTCCCGTGCTGCGCCTCCGCATCCGCTTCTTGTGAACCGAGTGAAAACACAGGCGAGGTGGAGTCGTCGTGGCTCTTCCCGATGAAGCTGCCCGACCCCGCCGCGGCATCCGCCAGCTGCAGACTGGCGAGGGCCCCGGCTGTCCACTCCTCTCGCCGCTGCGCTGCCAGGTCATCCGGCTGCGTTTCTAACAGCACCAACTGCTGCACCACGGCCGCCTCCCCTGCGGTCATGGTGGTGGAGATCGTCGTCGCGGTCGTGGCCACCGGGATTGGCGTATCGTCTCGCCCGTGCAGCGGTGTGCCCGACTTCTCGTGCGCGTCATCGCTGTTTGCCTCCTGTTGCTGCAGCACGTTCAGCAGCATGCGTTGCTTGCGGATGATCTTGACTGCAAAAACGTACTGAACGGCCGATCCGGCGGCAGCTCGTAGCACCGCTGTTGGCGACCGCCGCTCCTTCTCCCGCACGTAGGCTGCGCCTAACTCCGCCTCCTCCGTCGCGTTTTTCGTCCACACGCACGCGGCAGCCGTGCTGAAAAGCTGCTGCTCCCATCCGTGTGTTTGACTCGTGCCGTTGCTGCCGTGGTCGATGATATTTACCTTCGAGAGGATCGCCGCGGCAACAGTGCTGAGAGAGGGGGCTTGAGGAGCGCGCCCTGACGCACTATCCTCTCCGAGGTCGTTGCGCAAGGCGGCGCGGTACACGACACCGAACGTGCCTTGGCCAAGCGGCTTCGCGCGGTCTAACGTGTAGAACTCCTCGACGCGGTGACCATACATGCGGCGCACCTGCGCCTCGACATTCCACTGCGCTTTGCAGAGCAGCGCGTGCCGTCGTGCGACGGTCTGGCGCTGACGCTGCTCACGACGATGTGCTGCCGCTGCTGTATCATCGGAGCGTGAAAGCGGCGCGTCAGCGTCGTGTGTCGTTTGGTGACCCTCGGCGTGTTGCGCGTGTGGTGGGTGATTGACTTGTTGCAGCAACACCCATGCAAGAAAGCCATCCGCCGTTAAAAACGTGAAGGAGAGGTTGTAGTCGGCGGTGTGGCGCGGGCCGGCGTTGATCAGCTCCACCGTGTCCCCGCTGCGCAGCCGCGCGGACTTGCCTTTGCCCACGTGCCGACCCTCCACCATGCAGCCATTAGTGCTGTAGTCGGAAAGAAGAATGTTCACCCTCTCGCCGACCGCCGCAACATCCCGAGCAGGGAGAGGGGGAGGAGAAGAAGAAGCCAGGCCTTCTCCGTTCGCTCCCTTGTTGTTGACGTCGCCGTCCTGTTGCACTTGATGCTGTTCGTCCTCGTTCTGCAACGCATCCTCTCTGAACTTCTCTTGCAGCAGATCATCCTCCATCGCGTATCCGTTGTGCTGCGCGACCGCGCGTGCCACCGCGACCGCCGCCTCGTCCGCGGCGCGCTGCGTCTCTGCGTCCGTGCCGTGAAGGCTGTCCACCTCTCTGGTGCTGCCCTGCTGATACGACAGCGAACAGTGCACGCAGCTGACACACGGATTTGTTGCGAGGACGACGTCGTTGCTCGTCAAGCGGCCCACCGTCACCTGACCCTGCCCGCTGCGGCTACAAAGAGGCAGCAGGAGGTGCAATGTGGAGCACCACTCATTTACCGTCTGCACCTCTGCACGGTGCGTGTGCGCGGCATCGCCGGAGGAGCCCACTGGAAAGTGCCGGGACCGTTGCGCGGAAGGTAGGTGGTTCCACAGCCATGCATCACCTGGCGCAGACAACACGCCAGCATCGACAGAGTCGATTACAGACGACTGCGTTGAACACACACCGGCGTAGCGCGCTTGCGCGTACGTGAGCAGGCCGTTCTCCTTCGTCGGAGCCGTGTTGGAGACCAGCACTCCCCACACTAGCGAGGACGCGGGGCACGAAGTGCCGGTGGGCTCTGTCAGGGACTGCACCGTAGACTGCGGCGCGTGCATGACGAACGAAGGGGTTTATGTTCTTCCTAAACAATAGTTTTGTTTGTGTTTGTGTGGGTGCTGCGGAACATATAACCAAAGGAGAGAAAAGAGAGATGTGACGGGGTGCGAGTTTCTATCAGTTGTGGTCAGAGGCAGAGTGAGGCGGAGAGAGGGCTCGCTAAGAGGACGATAAAGAAGTGGAGGCTTCGAAGTGTAAAATATAAATATATATGTATATAGAGAGTCTGTAGCGTGATAGAAAGGGGCGCAAGCATTCCTTTTGTTTGTCGCGTGCTTGTGTTCGTGTGTCTGTCTCTCTCTCTCTGTGTGTGTGCAGCAGAGGCACAGGGAAGACGCCGTTCATACAACAGCTTCGTGACGGTGCCAGGCAGCCACCATGCTCCAAACAGACGCTGCAATGCAATTGCTTGCAGAAAGAGGAAAAACGAGGAGAGGATGCGACGGCCAGAAAAGGAAAAGGAAAGAAAGGGGATGAGGGAGAAACACACACAAACATCATCAGCGACAATCACACAGAGAGGAAGCGTACAAAGCTGTGGTGTCGCAATGCGCTTGAGGACGTCTGCCTCCTCTAAAACTAAAAACAACAACCGGGGAAGAATATATATATGAAAGGAGACGCCGAACCGCAGCGCCTTTCGTCGCTCCGTCCCGCTCTCTCTCTCTCGCCGGATTCGTTGGCCGCGATTTGAACTTCCATTTCGTACACATACACCACCACCACCACCACAAGCTGTTCAACAACAGGAGCATAAGAGCGTAAACAACAGTAGAAATAAAAAAAAACACCGTCGTGAAGAGAATAAAAGAAGAGGAAAGGCAACGAGACTACGCAGCAATCTGAGATGCAGATGCCATGGGTGTGTGTGGGTGTGGGTGTGCAGCAGACAACACTAATTCAAAACGGAGCGGGTGGGGGCTTCATACCTGTCTCACAAACGATGAAGCGCCGCAGTCAGACACGCTTGCATACAGAAGAGGGGAACCGCAACCGAAGAGTACATATTTTTTCCCTTTCTGCTTTAGAAATGAGAAAATAAATACTGGAAGAGGCGCACAGGAGAAGGTAAATGATGTGAGGAGGAAAGCACACACACACGCCCACACATCTGAAGAAAAGACTTCTCCCCTCAACTGCTGAACAGGACAATTGGGGGAGACGCGACCGCGCCTTCTTGGAAGGCCGCACTGCTGCGGGACGTTGAGGGCAAGTAGATCCGGAGAGAAGAGTCCAGCAAAAAACAGATTAAGAAGTTAATAAGCAATGCGCCCGTCCCAAACGAACACATACCCTAAGCGAACACGCCATCACCACAGAGTGAAATAAATATATAGTTATATGTATGAAAAGAAGCACTTGAAAAGGTAGTAAATAATAATAATACCTGCGCACACTACGGCGCAGAAGAGCAATACATATACATACATATATATAACAAGACAACGAAAAACCAGGTGATGAACAGACACTCTCCGTTTCTCGACGTGCAGCGCCTGTTCAGGTATACAAAAGAGCTGAGAGACGTCTCAGAAGACGTGTCGACGACTACTGCTGTTGCGTCTGGTCACGCTGGCACTGCAGGAAGTAATCCCACGCCCACTTGCAGCTGTCCGCCGACTCGGGATTCGCCTCCATGCACTTCGAGTACCCCACCAGCTGCGGCGTGCAGACGTTGTTCTCCTGGGCGGCGGCCTGCGCCAGCTGCTGCGCTTCTGCGGGCTGCGTAGGGGCCTGATTGTTGTGGCCGTAGAGGTAGTTGCTGATGCCGTGACCGAGCACGCTACCACCCGCGACCGCGGCCATGGTGCCCATCATACCGGAGCCACCACCACCGCCGTACATGGGGCGTTGCACGTAGACGTTCGTCACCTCGCTTCGTCGCGGTGGCGGTGGTGGCGCTGCGGTGTGCGGCGAGGAGCGGCGGAAACCGCCGGAGCCGCGGGAAGAGCTGCGAGAACGACCCATTGATTGCTATCCTTTTTGTGTTCTTCAAGTGAGTGACGTGCTGTGTGGTTGTTTGATGGTCGACTTGGGCGTTGTTGATGGTGTGCGACGTCGTCGACGGAGATGGGAAGAGAAAAACAACTTGTGTTGTATGTCGGCTGGGTGAAAAGCGCTAGAGCTTCAGAGACGCTGACGAATAACAAAATGGGTATCCGTTTTTCTTTCTTTCTTTCAATAAAGAAGGTCAGCGCGAGGGATTGCGAGAGCGGCAAAGAGGCGAGGAAGAAGACAGCAAGTTGAGAGCACATGTGTAGAGGAAAGAAACGAAGGGAGGGGTGCGTTCAGGGAACTGCCCAACGACGTCACTGTAAAAGCGAAGGAGAAGATAGCCCAACAGGCAGCGGACGGCGACACGTCATAATGAAGAAGTAAAAAAACAAAGCAAACAAACGAGCTCTGTGCATCTTCACGTGCGCTGGCGCACCGCGAGCGCTTTGACGTTCACACGGACGGACGGCGGAGCCTTCCTTCCTTCCTTTCCTTAAAAAACAACAACGAGAAACCATGTTCTTTTTCCCTTTGCTTTCATTTGAGTAGATATAACACCGGCTTTCATCAGACAAGAACACGCATTCCCCGTCCCATCACCACCACACCACCCGGACAGCTTACCCCTCAAAAAAATGAAAGAAAGGCCTCAAACCTATTCAACGGATTATCTTCTTACCTCTTCATCAGAGGAATATGCTTGTGTGTGTGTGTGCGGGAGAGGCATGTTACGTGTCCGAGGTGCGCGTATATATATATATATATATATATAGTGAAGTAAAGCCACTTCGATGACCACCACACATACACACGATCACACACCCACATCGAAGCCCTTGGTAGTTCAAAGGAGCAGTGTCTCACCTACAAACGAAACAAAAACAACGTTATTCGCCTCAAAAAAAAAAACAATAAGAGTAGCAGTTATCGAGATTTTATATTGTTAAACGAGGCTTTAATGCACATTCACACCTCATGAAGTTAGTCCACGCACAGGAATTGTCTAAGTAAAGGAAAGAGAGGGAGAAAGCATAGCGGCGCGACGCCGCAGACACCTGACGGCAGCACATGCTGATATTTATATAGAGAGCTATATAACTCTCGAGGTACGCTTCGTCGTGCAAGAGGGAGGAGGAAAACCAAAAAAAAAAAGAAGAACGGCAAACAACGAAAAGCCTTTTCATCCGGTACCGGCGCACATACTCTCTGCCGTGGAGCATACATAAGGAAAATAATTAACAAAAAAAAACCAATGTCAACAGCAGCAAATAATTCTGTTGCCTCCACTCCCCTCTTCGCAGATCAGCACGCCTCCGAACAAGTGCACGAGCCCATTCGTTTTATTATTTCCCTTTTCTTTTGATGTCCTTACAGCTCCGTGTCCTCCTTACACCGCATGTAGTTATCCAGCGCCCACGTGCAGTTGGTTTTGAAATCCGGGTTCACCTCTAAGCACTGGCGATAGCCCAACATGTGCGGCGCGCACGCACCGGAGCCGTGCTGCAGGACGCTGCCCTGCGCAGACGGCGACGCGGAGAGTGCTGGTAGGCCCGACGCACCCCCCTTTGGCACCGCCGTCGCGGCAACGGCGTTGTGGTGTGATGTGACGTACGCCTCACCACCCACCACGCTCACCGGCCCCGGCAAACGACCCCCCTCTGCCGGTGTCATCGCGGGTGGGGGAAAGGGCAACCGCGGCTGCACACGCCCACCGTTTTGCGGCGACCACGCGGCGCTGCTCACGCGGCTCTCGTACGGCGGCTGCTCTTTGGCCGTAATCAGCGACAGAGGAGCGGAGTTGTTTGTCGCCGTCAGCGCACCACGTTGTGGGTGCGGCGACGCGGTGGTTGGGGATGCCGAGGGCGTGGTAGTGGTGGAGGTGGAGGTGGCCTGTGCGTCAAGATTTGCGCTGCTGTCCCGCGAGGGAAGGTTGCGCGGGGAGCTGTAAAGGGGACTCAACAGCGCCATGAAGAAGCCTTGGCTACCGGTGGGTGTCTGGGCAGGGCGCTGCTGCTGCTGCTGCTGCGCCAGACTCAACGGGTTATCTTCCGCCATGATCAGTTACTTTGTTATTAGATTGGAAAAGAAGAAAGGAAAATAATATGATAAAGAGAAATAGATGAGACGTGAAAGAGGGAGACAATTGAATTCTAAGAAGGTGTTGTGTACGAAAGGAAAAGACGGAACGTGCAACAACTCAATAGTAACAATAAGAGTAAGAATCAAACAAATAAGGCGTGATGTTGGTTTGCTGCTGTGAAAGGCACTCGCCGGCGCCAAGAGAAGTTTGATGGGAGGCGGGAGGGGAGAGATGGCAGCAGCAGCAGCAAATAATAATAATAATAAAATTCTCCTTGTGTGCGGGACGGGAGAGAGCGACGGTGAAGAAGCACGAGAGCGAGTAGAAGAAACACCACAACACACAGACAAACAGACGAGAAGACTTTTGGTGGTTCTCAGCAGTCGAAAAGGCACAAGGAAGGACTCTGTAATCCCGCACTCACGGACCGGCGCGAGGGGGAGGGGGGAGGGGGGAAGAAGAAAGGATTGAACCACTGAGAAGGCGTGATAGTCTCGTGCGAAAAGCGTGGAGATGCTGAGGAGGGAAAAAAGGAATAAAGATATGTGAAGAATAACAAACCCCTCCTTCCAAAGAGAGAAATTGAGACGAAACCGGACTTAACCGCGCTAAACCCGGCGTTGGCCTCTCTCCTTTTCTTTCTTTAAATAGATGCACACAATAAGTATTTCTTGTCTTCTTCTTTTTGATGGGAGAGTCACGAGTAGCGCCGTGAACCTTGCAGAGGAAAAAACAGCAAAAGGAGAAAAAAAAATAACGCAGGCCACCGGCTTCTCTGACGACGACGCCGACGTCAACAAAACGAGAGGGGGCGACGTCACGGAACTTAATTTTCTTTTAAAAGAATTATTACTGAAAACCGTTTTGAGTATCTTCAAACTACAAGGAAGATGATTTACAGCAGAAACACACACACACACACACACCAACACCAACGACAAGGACACGAGTCTAAAATGAAAGGTATAAGAGAGATGCGAAGGCGAATTTTAATACACGTGTGTTTGTGGGAAGGGGGGGGGGGAGGGGCGTCAACGTATGAGAAAAAAGGAGGAGAGATGCAGCAGAAGAAAAGAAAGCAATTTACGGGCAGCTGTACTCCTGATATATATATGTATATACTTTTTCCTTCTTGCTTTGCTTCCTGACCGCAAGTGTGCGCGATGACTGGAAATAAATAAATATATATATAAAGGCGAGAGAAAGGAGGAAAGGGCAAAGGATATGGAGAAGCACGCGGCTTGCTACGGCAGCACGCAGCAACCAGTGGAAAGACAGAAAACAGGCGGCACAAGGACACACACACACTCACACATATATATATTCTCACAGCGGGAGATATAAAAAAAAGACAAATCCTCTTTTTTCTCGCAGCGGCAGCTATTCTTCTGACGTGCGTGCGTGCTGGGGAGATGACAAACCACGTAAAGGACGCCCACCGCACACGCTCGCGATGAACATACTTGCCCGCCGTCCTACTTTGTCAGCTGCGATGTCACACGTCGGAGGGATGTGGCTTCACAGCGACAAATGTCTCAGCATTCACACGTTCTTTTTTCTTCTTTCTTTGACCTTCTTCATTCGACTACTCCATTTCTTGTTCTTGTTCTTTTCTTCTTAATTAAGGAATTGTAAATATCGTAAGAGAGGTTAAGTGGGCGCATGAGTAAATAAATAAATAGAGGAATATAAAAAGCCACACAAGCGAAGGAGAGAGAGGGAGAGGGAGAGAGCTTCGCGCATTCCGTTTACGTTTGGAAGTGTGCAGTACGCGTGACAGCCCCGACAAGCACAGCGGCAACAGAGAAGAGAGAGAGACGGAGGAAGGTACACAAACAACAACCGCACGCACGCACACGCCCACACACACAGATACACAGACGAAGCAGAAAGCGGTCTCGCTACCGCGCGTTGGACTACACTTCTACCGCACGTGTGAGTGTGTGTGTGTGTGTGTTTACCTTCTCCGTGTCCCCGATGCTTCTTGGCGTTTCGCTTTGTGTGTTGTTCGTTATATATATTTTCTTTCTGTTATTGTTTCTTACTGAGCCGGCGCGGCCGGGTGGTCACGCTGGCACTGCAGAAAGTAATCCCACGCCCACTTGCAGCTGTCCGCCGACTCGGGATTCGCCTCCATGCACTTCGAGTACCCCACCAGCTGCGGCGTGCAGACGTTGTTCTCCTGGGCGGCAGCCTGCGCCAGCTGCTGCGCTTCTGCGGGCTGCGTAGGGGCCTGATTGTTGTGGCCGTAGAGGTAGTTGCTGATGCCGTGACCGAGCACGCTACCACCCGCGACCGCGGCCATGGTGCCCATCATACCGGAGCCACCACCACCGCCGTACATGGGGCGTTGCACGTAGACGTTCGTCACAGACGGCTGCTGCTGCTGCTGGTGCGGCTGCTGCTGCGACGTTGAGTGGTGCATCGGCTCCGCTCGCTTGGGCGCTGGCGGCGGCGGCGGTGCGGCGTGGCTGCGGCCGGCCGTGGGAGCAGGACGAGAACGACCCATTGTTTTTCTTCTTCTTTTAATAGTTCTCCCAAGCGAATTGCTTCGATAACAAAATAGAAAAAAGCCGTCCAAGAAGATTATTAAGAAAAAGCAACGAATAAAGCGCGATCGCAGGGGGGCACACACGATGCCGAAACCAGAAAACGGAGGAGGAGGAAGAGGAAGGAAAGTGCTGATGGGTGACGCGGGGGGGGGGGAGGAGGAGTTGTGGGAGAAAACACCGATACAAACAGTAGTGTGCACGTGATAGAAGGAGGAGGGGAGAAGCAGGCGAGGAGAGAGAGAGAAGATAAAATGATCTGCAGTTCCTTTGACGCCCAAGCGAAGCAGAATACACATCCATGCGTTGCCTTTTATCCTCCCTTCTGTCTCGCTTCACGTGGAGGCGAATCAGGAAGGATAAGCGGCGGCATCGCTCGTTACCAAGCCAGCTGTATTTCTGTCGCTCTGTGCGTGCAGGAGAGTCCGTCAACGTCGGCTCAACGATCCCCCCCCTCCTAGAAACACCGTTTCACAGACATTAACCAGTTCCACTAACGCTGTGTCGGTGGGCGAGGAGGAGGGAAAAACTGCGCGGCTCGTCTGACGTTGATGCATGGAGTTCGCCCGATTCGGTCCAAAACCAACCAGCCAAAAGAGCTCGGCCTCGCACGACTCGCCTTGGGCTTCTTCCTTCCTTGATAAGTCTACTGCTTCATTCCAGCATTGGTTGGCTGAAACTGCATCACAAACACTTCAGCAAAAACGAAATATATACCTGACCACCACCACCACCACCACAAAGGAAAGAGACACGAAATAGTAATGAAAGACACGCCGAAACAAACACAAGAAGTCCGCTGTCACCGCCCTTCTCTTAGAATAAATATATCCTTCACGTACCCCTCGTCGTTGACCCCCATCAGTAAAGAGAGGAGGATAAGTTGAAAAGCGGGGCGAGGGCGCTCGGGAGACAACACCGGAGCCAACGGAGACCAAGACACACGCACACACGCACACACACACACACGCATAGAGATAACAACTCGTCGAGTATAGAACAGCACCAAAGAAGTGGGCGGCGCTCTGCAAGGTGTGGGGGTGTGGGGGATGCGCATATCCAAATGGGAGGGGGGCAATACGGCGTCTCTCCCTCCTTCCCCCTCCCCCCACCGAAAACAAACCGACTAACCGACCAACGGAGCCTTCACATTCTTTTTATGATAGACCACTTCTTTCTTCTCTCTTCTTAAAAAAAAGTATTTATTAGTTTACGGCTTTGCGTACATGCGCGTCCATTCGCGCGCGGTCTGTAGGGCGCCCGCCTCATCTTCCTTCCAGTGATCCGCCACGTCGTTCGCGAGCGGGTCGTCCGGGTTCGGACTCGACATCAAAATTTGAATCGACAGAAGCACCTTGTTGATCAGAAGCGCCGGCGACCACTTATCCTTGATGATATCGAGACAGATGCGGCCCACCTTGTCTACGTTGGGGTGGTAAATACGCGTGAGGAAGCGCACCTTCGGCGGCTTCATTGGGTACTCCTCGGGGAGGAAGAGCTCGAGGCGGAAGAGGCCGCCTTCGTAGCACGACTGCGGGGGGCCCTGGATGGTGACCATGAAGTACCGCGGGTTGTCCTTCGTCGGGGTGGCCGTGATGCCGGGCGGGCACTCCTTCTGGAGCTTCTCCGTTTCCTTGATAATGCGCGTAGTCAACATCGCTGCCTTCGCTCTGTTGTTCGTATCCTCTTTCCTTTCTTTCTTTTTTCGAAAGAGAGCTGCGTTAGGGTTTTTGCTATGTTCTACCTCCTCCGAGGGACTCAAACAACGGTTGATGCGCTCGTTGCACAGGCAACAAGTTTCTGGTACTCAATATGAGGGGCGAAAGAAGAGAGAGAGAGGGAAGGGCGATAGAGAGAAACACCACCAACCCCGAAGGAAATAGCTTTGCCGCTCCCCACACAAACACGCACACGAATGCCGGCGAATGAGACTGCTGAGAACACAAAATCCAAAGCTGCGGCACACGCAGGCGCAGATAATACCAGTTGTAGTAATACTAATAAAGAAAGAAAGCACTCACTCACAAGCTCACCCGCGCGACAACCGAAAGAGCGCGCGCTGGAACAGGCAGGGAGCGAAGGAGCGAGTCGAGACACAACAAATGGGAGAGAAAACAAACGAGTAAACAAAAAAGAGAAGCGAATAAGAAATGAGACGTGTGAAAGTCGCTGGAATATGACCACCAAACCGGAAGGAAAACACCGAGTAAATATAGAGGAGCGTGAACAGCAACAGCAAAAACAATAGAAAGAAGAACTAAGCGAATAATAGAGATGAAAGGCACAGTCAACTGTATGCGTAATACGATGACCTGAGAAGCACCAATATATATGTGTATAAGAAACACAAGAGCGCGCAGCAGAGCAGAAGAGGCGACGAGAGAGAGAGAAAGAGGAAGAAATACGCTGCGCTACAATGCACCATCCCTTTTTTATCTATTTGAAACATATACCTTTCACTGCTGCAGTGGAGCGTGATGGGGCCGCAGAGGCGCAGCGACACGACGGCTTTGATACAGGAGTGTACAGACCGAAAGACATACAGACACCAAACGGCCTTTTCACATCCTATATATATATATAGAACGATCGTTGACTGCCATGCGGTGTGTCACTAACATCTGCAACCTCAGCGGTGGTGTTTGTTTTCGCAGCCCCACGCACCCCCACCCTGTTTCTATTTTGTTCTGTTTTTATTCTTCTGTGTTTTCGCTGAGGGTACTGAAATATATATATATATATATATATATTTGTATTTGTATTTTTTACACAAGGACACCGCTTGCTGCCCAATACTTGTATGATACATGATGAAACGAAGAGAACAAGAAGAAGATGGATTCATGAACCAACAACAACAACAAAACCCCAGCACAAACAGAACGACGCAGCGAGGCGTAAACCGCCAAAGAGAGGGGGCGGCCGTCTCGCTTTGGACGTGCTACCGGCGGTGAGGACATGCGATTGCCTTTCGCCAAGGCAGTGGGTAAACGAAATACCCGCAGAGCATGCGGGAGGGGAAGACAAACAAACAACATAAATCGAAGCGTCCATCCCACTCAACGAGGTGATGCAAGCAGCGCCAGTAGAGGGAGAGAGAGAGAAAAGGAGGGAGACGCGACCACCACCACATAACAAACGACGGGGGCAACGACAAAGATGCGCCGCTAATGTACATGTATGAAAACATCACCACCGAACACACCCGCATGCGATGGAGGACAAACAACTAAGAAAAAAAAAGACAGCGCAAGCAAATGAGTACCACTTGGATGCAGCAAACCATGCAGCGAAGGACTCTGAACTGACCACCCCTCCCCCCGGCCGCTCGTTGCACCACGCGGTGCACACACTGAAGAAGAAAAACAGCTGAGCCAACGAACAAGCAATGGTCTCTCGAGTTACTCGCGACTATCTTGCTTCGTCAGGCCAGCGCACTCTGCCGGGCCGCGTCCTGCGCCGCCTTCATCGCCTCCGTGTGCGCTGTCAGGCGCTCGCGCAGCTTATTCTGAAACTCCATCCGCGTGTGCGTCTCGGCCTTGGCGCGAGCTTTGCGCTCCACCACCAAGGCCTCCAGTCCTGCCTTGCGCACCTGCAGGAACGTCAGTCGATCTCGCAGCTGCGCCGCCTCCGCCTCTAGTCGGGCGTGGGCCGCGGCGAGCTCTTCGCGATCATCCTGCCCATCCAACAAGTGCTCCTGAGTCGCGCTGAGCCGCTCGCGTGCGACGACGCCGCGTGCGGCCAGCGAGAGCTGCGCCTCGCCCAGCAGTCGCCGCAGAAGCACGCCGCGCTCCGGCAAGTCGACGGTGACCTGCCGTAGCAGCTCCTCGCCGAGCAGGTCGAACTGCACCAGCCGGCGCTCCTTATTCAACTCCAGCACGTTCAGGGTGGTGGCCACACTCGCGGAGCCGCCGCCGCTGGACGACAGCGCGGTGGGGCGTGCCGGCGGTGGACGCGTGGTGCGGGTGCACACCGGGTCCTTTCCACTCGCAATCACGGTGGTGGTCGGTGTGGGGCCGGCAGCAGCAGCAGCAGCGGCGGCAGTGCAGCTCTTCGGCAGCCCCTTTTCCCCCGTCGGTTTGGCATCGGCCGGCCTCTTCGGCGTGAAGGCGACGCTCGCGGTGGTTTTCGTTGCCGCCGTGGCGGACGTCGGCTGCTGCTGCGCGTTTTGGGCGCTGGAGGACAGCGTTAACGGCCGCCCACAGCAGCGTGCGTGGCACTGCGCCAGTATTTGTTCCAGCGACTGCTCCAGCCTTTTTAGGTACTCGCGCGGGGCCTGCACCTCACTCGTGCGCTCCAGCACCACCAGCATCACCCCGATCGGGGCCTGAGCGTACTCCTCCGTCAGCAGTGTAGCACACTCCGCTAATTCAGCCCGACTCTGCCGGTCATTTGGGTGCTCTTGCAGCGCCTGCCGGAGCAATGCCTGCTGCGCCAGCGTCGTCTGCCGCTGCTGCTGGACCTCGACGGCGACTTCGTAGTCCACCATGTAGTAGAGCAACATACGCGGCGGGAGCAATGCGTCGAGCGTGGCGCGCAAGGTCGAGGTCACCACCGGGACGCGCGGCTCCGCCCCGGCCAAAGGCGACGCGGCTCTGTTGTTCGCCGCCACCGCCGCCGCCGCCGCATCAGTCACGGCATCGTCACTGCTGTCCGGCTGCGCGCACCCGATCAGAAGCTGACGTACGTACGCCGGCACATCGACCTCTACGTCGGCATCCATTTCGGGCTCCGACTGCGATGCACGCTGCTGCTGCTGCTCTGTCGACGCCACACGCGCATCGGCAGCCCGAACAAGGCGACGGAGCATCTCACCGTACTCCACCGAGTCTGACGGAATTTCACGCAGTCCGCTGAGGCACGCCTCCACCATGGCGTAACGCCGCTCGTCCTCCAGGTGTCGATGCCGCTGCTGCGGCGGTCGGTTGCTCGCATGTTCGGCGTCTTCCTCTTCTTCCTCTTCCTCCTCCTCCGCAGCGTTGCGACAGCGTGAAGAGCTGGGACAGAGTAGGTACTCCAGCACCTCCTCCGCGACGCGCTCGCCGTAAATCCGCTGCTCGTCTGCGGCGGTTAATTCCTGCGCTTGACGCATCGCTGCTGCTGCTGCTGCTGCTGCTGCTGCGTGGTGGTGATCGTCGTCGTCGCCGTCGTCGTCGCCGTCCGCGTCGGCCTCTGCGGAGGGGTGCGTCATCTTCGTTCTGCACCCCGGCACCCGACCCACGGCGAGTGGCAAACGCTCTCGTATAAAGTCCGATACAGGGGCGGGAGTTTCTGCGTCGGAGAGCGCACGTGGCCGCGGCGGCGACGAGGATGGCAGCGGAGAAAGCGGCGCCGCGTCCACGGAGTCCTGATGCGCGGCCTGCCGCTGTCGGTACTGCAGTTGCTGGTCGATCGTGGACAGCATCTCGTGAAAGTGCAGCGGGATGCGCGCCACCACTAGCGGTTCGTCCCGTGCCGTGAAGGTCAGCGGGGCGTCGCGTGCGAACGCATGGGCGAGCGGGTCGGTGCGGCACACCGCACACGGGCTGTCTGCATCGTTGAGGTAATCGAGTTGGGTCTCCTTTGTGTTCTCCACATCGCCGAGGACGACGACGCCACCGCTGTTTGGACGGCTCTGTGTCAACGGTGGCCTCGAGGAGCCCTTGCTGCCGCACAGCAGGCTCATCGCAGCGGAGGCCGGACCCGCAGCTGGGTGATGGCAGTCCTGCGCTGCGCCGTCCGCGGCGAGCACGTCGTGGCTGCTGAAGACTTCGACGGCGAGGCGGTGACCGTCGTTACGCATCTTCACGGCCCGCATCGTTGGCGGGTGAACTTCACACACACGCGTGCGCTTGTATGTATATATGTGTCTGTGTGGGTGGGTGGGTGAAGTCAAAAGAAGAGCGGAAAACAAAACGTCAGCTGTGCAAGCACAACGCGGACGCCGAATTGGTCGTAGTGCCCGCTTCGGGTACAATGAGCAAACACAAGCACCCACACACGCAAGAACAGCAACAACCCAGTGCCGCCGCCTCCTTCCTTCTTCCTTTTTTTTTAAATTAAGAATTTTGAGCAGCGAGCGATGGAGAGCGACAGTAAGCAGTTCTTTTGGCCCTTAGAGAGCAAGAGTGGTCAAGAGGCCTTTCCTTTTTTCCCGCTGTCGCAACTTTCCAATGCGAGGTGAACGCGCCGGTGCGAGAGTGCCATGCAGCGAGGAAGTAAACGAAAGAGAGGAGGAAGAGTTGACAAGAAGGGAATCGGAAAAAAACAAACAAAAAGAAAGAAAGCGAAGACGCCGCGATGCGTTCCGTTAGGCGTTGATGTGATGTACAACCAGTGGAATATACATATGAATATACACGTGCGCGTTTGAGCAGCCATGACTGGCGGCAACACGTTCAGCGCTGCGCCACTCACATACGCAAAGCCTTGAGAAACATAAATACACCGGTAAGAGGAAACGATAGACACACGACACCGCGAAAGAAGATGAGCGCACACCTTCTCTGCGCGGCTTTTGCTTCTGCGTCTTCGACGAATACGGTAGCAGCAGCAGCAGCAGCAGCATCAACAACCACAATAGAAACATAAAATAAAGTAACATAGAATCGAGCAGTGGCATGAAATACAGCTGGACAGATAAAACAATCAAACAGCAACAGAAGGAGAACACAAAAGAAAAGAAGTGCCACATGCATTATCAGCCCTCCTCGGAACCGCCGATCTACACCTGCTCCTGTGCCGCCGCCAACCACCGCGGAATGTCTTCTGCTAGCCGCGCCAGCTCCCTCCACACCAGCGCGTCTCGCGAGGTAGAAGCACTGCCCTTCGGCGTACACCCGCTAGGGAAAGAAAGAAGGGACGATGAGCCGGTGACACACGTCGCTGCCCAACTCAGCGGCACCGCCCCACTCACCACCGCGGCCGCAACACCAAAGAGTGGATGGTGCAGCATGTGCTGCGACAGCGCCGTCAACGCATCAGTGAGGGCGACCTCGCCCGACAAAAGCACGCCGTCTGCCGTGGCAGTGGACCGATGCATCGAAGGGCGTTCGTCCGAGACACACGCGGTACACCTTTCGCCACTTCTGTGATTCCCCGTTGCTGCTGCTGATGACGGCGGCCGCGGCGAAGAAACCGATCGGCCGCTCTTCGATTGGCGAAGGGCGGTCCCATCGCTCCGCTGGGCTTTCGCGCCGGCGCGCAGCGTAGGCAGCAGCAGCAAACGCAGAAGCAGCCGCACCAGCCGGCGCACACCGCAACAGCACATCCGATCCCACCTCGTCTCGCACTGCACAACAGAGTCGTCGATGCTGTCCAGCGTGCACCGGCGCAGCGCGCGATCACGTCGACGGCTCTCGGAGAACAGCAGCAACACGTCCAGCGCAACCTCACACCACAGCGGCATCTGTGCGGTGCGTCCCTCCAGCTCCATCAACACATAGGACTCCATGCGCAGCAGCTCCTGCGTAGCATTTCCAGACGCCATAGAGGGGGAGGTTGCCGCCTCTTCCACTGGCGCGCGTGCGTAGTGCGAGGGCACCGGACAGCGGTCTACCACCTGCGCCAGCAGACCAACACGCAGACGGTGGAAAGCGTCGATGTACGCGCAGGACGGCGTTGCACCACCCGGCGTCGCCATGCACCGCTTTAGTTCGTCTGCGAGCGCTTCCGGCGTCATCTCCACGGCTGCAGCTGCGCGTGCCAACTCCGACACGCAGGAACACGTGGACAACCGTGGCGGTTCCGGTTGCGTGTGCTTCTGTTGTCCATCTCGCTGCGCGGCACCCAACACCTCCAGATGAGGTATGAAGAGAACAACAGAGCGTCGCTGCTGCAGGTGACTCCACGCAAGTCGCACGGACGCCATCACAGCCCACACGCGGTTCTTCTCATCGCAGAAGGATCGATAGGCCTTCTCGAAAGCGGTGATGGCGCCCGCTGCGGCTGTGTAGCGTGCAGGCGAGATGGAGCAGCACGATGACGTCGTGCAATTCGAAAAGAGGTCGGAGCTGCGACGCTCGCCGTCGTGTGTGTGCGTCCCCCTCGCCTCGTGCTCCCTCTTGTGCGGTTTACTCTCTCTCTCCCTGCCGTCGGATGCGCGTTGTGCGGCACGGGCGCGTTGGCGTAGCCGGAAGCTGCACTCATGCTCGCTGCTGCGCCACACAAAGGAAGCCAACGTTTGGATCGCCAGCAGCGGCATTAACTCGACCTGCAGAGACATCCGAAGCGACGTCAACGACGGTGTGTGTGACGTCTGTGGGGAGGTGGATAGTTGTCGGGGTAGTAGCGGACAAGCAACGTGCGGGTGCCGCTGCGTGTCAAGGGAAGGAGGTGGAGGACGATTTTGAATACTCGCCGATGGGCTTGTCGCGGTCGGCGTCGCCTGGCCATGTCCTCCGCGATGATCACCACCACCCACGACCCCCGCACACCGGCAACTCTCCCCCGCGTGCGCAACATCCATCCCGCGCGGTGCGACGTCAACGTGGCCGCCCCTTCCATCCAACGGCTGGTGGAAGAGGTAGTAGTCGAGGTGGAAGCGGTAGAGTGCTGGATCGAGGTAGCGGCCACGCACCAAGCAACCACAGAGACACGTCGCTACGGGACTTACAATCCCAGCCTGCGCACGGCTCACGGCGGTGTTCGCTGATGTTCCAATGTATTTCTGGAAGTCAGAGGAGGACAACGGGGGTGGCGGCGACGCCCGCATCACTTCCAGAATGTGGCAGAGACTGAGGCTCAAGGACAGACACGTGCTGGCGTCCCGCGGGTAGCGGGTAAGGAGAAACCACAGCTGTCTTTGCCGCTCCTCATGACAGCCGCACGTCGAGTCAGCAGGGCTTCGTGCGGAGTCTGCGTATGCTCCTGCAGACGGGCCTTGGGATGCTGCGGTCGTCGGTGCGGCTTCCGGGGACACCCACTGAGAGGGCAGCAGACGACGCCACTGCTGCCGTGCGCTTTCAGAAGCCCCCGTGATCAACAGCGGAGTTAACGGAGGGGCGCTGTGGGCACTGCCGCCGCGACGAGAACCCGCGCTGGCTCTCTCCTCGTCGGCCCAACCGCCATTGCTGTCATAGTCGTGGTGGTGGTACTCGCCCCTGTTCGCCTCGCCTGCTGACGGCTGCGCTGGTGTTGTTGGAGGTGTGAGGTACAGCCGCAGGAGCCGGACTAGCGACTCCGCAATGCCCTCCGTCGCCGCCCCCCTCGCCGCAGTGGAGGTGGAGGGCGGAGCTGGTAAAGATGGCGAAGGCCGCACGTTTTTTGAAGCCGAGGGAGACGAAGAAGGCGAAGAGGGCACCGCTTCTGGAGGATGCTTCGGCGACCACCGCGGACAGGCGCTACCGCCCTCTCCCTCCGTGTGGACCTTGCGAAGATGACTGTCCACGATGGTTGGCTCTGTCAGATGAGGGACCGCTTCCGCAGTCGGCGAAGGGCGATAGGGAAGCGAGACGTGACACGGTGGATCTCTCTTATCGCTTCTGCGTCTGCTTGTTCGTTGTCTGCTGTGTGCAACGTCGTTCTGCGCCATCAAGCTCGTATCTTGTCGACGGTCATCTTGTGAGTTCGATGAGGAAGAACAGCTGCTGCGCCTCTCTCGCTGCCTTTTCCCGCGTGAAGGCGAATGCATGGAAGGACAGATCGGTTCTGTCGCCGTGAAGGTGCTCATCTTCGAGTCTTTCTGTCTCTCTGCATGTGGGTGTCTGTCGTCCCGTTGGTGGGGGGGGGGGGAGGGGGGAGGGGCGAAGAAGGAGATGTGCTCGTCGGCTTACGGGGGTGCGGGTCGCTGGCGTTCAAATGAAGAACCCAATATGAAATGGCGCCTGCCGGCACAGCTGGTGTCTGAGGGTCTTCGAAGTTGAACGAGAAGGAGAAGAAGAGAAACGAAGATGGTGTTGCTGCGTGCCGTAGACACGAGGAGAGGGGAAGGGAGAAGAGCTCGTAGCGTGTGTGTGGCGGCGGTACGTTGCGACGTACATGGACCACCTACACACACAGACACACGATAGAGTTGATGTAGGACTCAGAGAGCGTTTAACGGTTGTGGGATCTGCATCTTTGCAGCTGCCTTCTAAAATGCTACCGGTCTACGACAAATAATTCAATAAATAAACAAAAGACATTGACACACACCCACACAACAAGACAAGACAATGAGCACACAGATGGGAGTGGTTGGGAAGCGTGAAACGATGAAAGCCAAAAGCCGCAACGAGCAACGCCCAGCAGAGGAGAGGAGGGGGGGGGGGAGTAAGGTGTGCGGGAAGAAAGAAAGACGTCAGTCAACGCTGCACAGTCTACGCACCAAAGGGGATTCTACGCTCCTTCCTGTGCTGCTGCCTCCGGAGAAAACAAAAAAGAAAGTAAAAGAAGAAAAAAAAATACGGGAGGAGGGAAAAAAATGTGGTGGTGTGAGTTCTCATCTACACATTTTTAGTTACTGCTATTGTTATGCGTTCAGTTCTCTATAGCGACCACGCCGCCTCCACACGCACCGTCACGATCATGGTCACCCCGCCGCGGTTAATGCGCACTGGCACCAGCATCCCCGGCACCAGCTGTTCCGCAATAACGCGACGGAAGTCGCTGACACTGCGAACCGGCACGCCGTTCAGCTCCTCCACGAAGTCGTTCGGCTGAATACCTGCCAGCACCGACGGCCCTGCCGCGTTCACGACGAGCACGCCGTTGTCGTAGTGCGTCGGCATGCCATTGACGAGCACCGTGCCGGTCACCTCCAACCCCAGCACGGGAAGCATCTTCGCTCCGTTCCCCGCGCTCGACGACGACGGCAGCGGTGGCTGTGAGGGGGAAAGGGAGCTGGCGTGACTGCGACTCGGGCTGGCGCGGTAGACTCCGTTGTGCTCCGGCGTTGCTTGTGACGGTTGCTGCCGCCCATGTGGTGGGGGCTGTGGGGAGGGCGAAGACCAAGACGGCGGCGACGCCGCTCCGGCGCTGTAGGGCGACGCGGCGGGCTGGCTTGGGCTCGCTCGAGGAGCCGCGTACGAGCCGGGTACTGGCCCGTCGCCAGGTAGCGCCGCTGTCGCTGCTGTACCATCGCCATATCGCTCCAGCGCTTCTAAAAATTCGGCCAGCTTCACTCGCCAGTGCTGGAGACAGTGCAGAAACTGTGGCGCCAGGGTGCGCAGCGACCAGGGCTGGCTCGTCGGCATGTACAGACTGGCGGACATCAACACAAAATTGTTCCGCATCGAGGCCCCGACCCCGCCGCCGCACATCTCCCGCCCGAGCAGCGACGCCTCTAGCAAAAACTCGTACAGCTGCAAACGGCCGTCACTGCTGTTCTGCACAGACGGCGGAAGCGCCGCCAGCAGCGTCGAGTAGAGGTACAACCGCTCCGTCGCGGCATCGTAGGTCACCAACAGCGTGTACTCACCGTCGATGCTGATGACACAGGTGTCGCTGTCGTCGAACTGCAGACCGTCAGAGAGGCCGAGGTCGTCGCCCAGGCGACGCAGGTTGGCTTCCGCGTTTTCACGCGCGTCGTAGAAGCCGCCTTCCGGCACCGTCAGGGCCGCCGTTGCGTCCGCCACGCGTGGGGCAGAGGGGGAGTTGGAGTTGGCTGACTGCGTCGAAGAAGGACTCTTCCGCGGCTGCGGATGCCGCCCGTTGCGATGTGGGGGCGTGGAGGGCCCCCGGCTTTGTACCAGACCGCTGCGTCCGCTTCGGTCTCGCGGCACGCCCTTCTCGATTAATTCGTTTCCTTCACCGTCTGCGCCTGCGTCGCCATCATCGTCGTCAGAATCGCGGTGCGTGAGCAGCGCCGCTGCCTCCCGCTGCAGCGCACGAGGCGGCTCGACGCCCATGCAGTCGTAGTAGCGCAGGCGCTGCTGCACAGCGAGCCGGCGGTCCGCCTCGAGGGCGCGGGCCTCGCGTATGCGGGCGAGCCGCTGGTGTTCCACGTCAATCTCGCGTCCGCGCAGCTCCAACGCGCGCGCCTTCGCCGCGGCCTCGAAGGTGTCTTGCTCCAGCAACGCCCGCTCCTTCTCCGCCTCCAGCAGTGCCTTTTGCTGCGCCAGCGTGGCCTTCTTCTTTTCATTCTCCAGTTTTAGCAGGGCGACGGCACGCGTGGCCTCCTGCTCAGCCCGCAGCTGCTCCCGCCGTTCTGCGAGTTGAGCGGCGCGCTCCGCCGCACGTGCGGCTTCCTGGGCCCGCAGCGTAGCCAGGCGCTCCCGCTCCCGCGCCGCTGCCGCCTCCTTCTCCCGCATCCGGTGCAGCTCCTCGTCTGCGTCCTCGCGTTGCCGCTCCAGCTGGCGACGACGCAGGCCCGCCTGGTCGAGCTCGTCGTCAACGTGGTGCAGCGTGTTCTTCAGGACGCCATCGCGCACCGCCCCGTCCTTGTGCAGCATCGCATCCTGCTGCTCGAGTGTTTGCAGCTCCAGGAGTCGACGCTGCTCGGACATGGGGAAGGGAAAAGGGGAGGGAGAGGTGACGGACGACGATGAGGGTGGCGCGTCGCCTGGGCTGCGTGCGCGAGAACTGCGACTGCCGTTTTCTAACGTCTTCGCCGCATTTCGACTTTTTCTGAGCGGCGGTGGTGCGCGCGCGTCGACGGCGAGCGTTGCGCCGTTGCCGATGCCAAGGCTCTCGCAGAGGTCCCCGTCGTTGCTCAGCGGGACCCCGTTCAAATGCAAGACCATGTCGTCTAGTGGAATAGGGCACGAGCTGGCCGCAGCGAGGCACTGCTTCACCTTCCCAATGGTGAGGCGGCCGACGGCGGTGCGTACGTTGAGCCGGTAGCGCTTGCCCTCCTCCGGGGAGATGATGTTGATGTGCTCCTTGCGGTCTTGCATGGTGAGGTACGGTGAAACTTCTAATGGTATCTAACGTGGAAAAGGGAAAAGAATGCATACGAGGTAGGATACAAGAAGAGGAAGAGGAGATAGAGAGGTGACAATGAAGGTACACGTCAAAACACTTTTCGCTACCATTTTTAGGTGTTTCACAGGTGCCGCGCCCATGGAGCGCACATCACCGATTTACCCGACTCCCCCAAAAAATTGATACCACCGAACAAACGAAACACGCCGAGGTCTTATTGGGAAAGGAATGTCACGCGGAGGAATGGTGCGTCGTTGACTCGGGAACGCTCCAACACCCGTCCCGCCAACACACGCGTTTTTTCACTTGCTTTCTTTTTCCTTTTGTTTGTCGTCCGGCTTCTTTGTCTTGTTTAATCACTTACATCGAACGATGCCTCGGCGACGAGATGTCCTCCTTCGCTCTTCCTCCTCTTCCCGCTTACTTTCTAAAAAACAAACAAACAAAGAAGTCAGGATAATGATGTCTGAGCCACAACGACTGCTGACATCAAACACACACACACACACACGCATACACGCACAGGGAAAGAGAGGGAGAGAAGCAAGTGTGCGAGGCACCCGAGAAGATGGAAACAGAAGAAAAATAGAAAACATAATAGGCAAGTAAAGAAACAAAAATTCAGAAAGCAATATATATGTAATAGAAGATGAAAGGAAAAAACAAAACAAACAAACAAACCCACGCAGCGCTTGCGCAGATGAACACTCTCGTTGTATGTGTTGAGCTTGAAATTGAACTTTTGAGGTAAAATCCATATATTTTTTTAAATGTTGTCAAGGAAAGCACCGCGCCCTCGCCCAAAGAGAAGAAAAGGAAGAGAGAGAAAAAAAGGCGAAAGAATCTGGAAGCACACATCCACTCTCACGCAAGAACGTCATGTGTAAAATGAAAAGACGGAGAGGAAAGGAGAGGTACATAACAGAAGAATTAAACTCATATAGAAACGTACCTCCTTAATGATAATAATGATAATAATAAAACATATTTAGCGTGCATGACGATGGCACAGAAGAGAGACAGTCCGTAGAAAAAACAACGACACACATTTCTCCCTTTTTAAAAACAAATAAATAATAATAATAATAATAATACGCACGTACACGCCACAATGATAGGCATCAAAAGGCTTTGGACGTGCCACACAGACACACACGCAGACAGACAGACAGACAGACACAGACACTCAAGCATTCAAACATGTGTGAAAGCCCAAAGAATGAAAGGAAAAAAAAAACAGCATGATAAACTTTTCTGCTTTTGATACCCGAAAGCGAGTAGTTTGTCTTTGCTTCTCAAATAAGACAGAAAAATACGAAGAGATAAGGCGTGTATGACGTCGAGAATAGCTCTCGACAACTTTGTCTTCTATATATATATATATATTTAAACAAGAACTTCTATACATATATAAGGTCTTTCATTCCCTCCTCCCAGTCCTATCCGACAACACACACACACACACACACACCGACAAAAGTGAACTCGTCAACGCATAACGCGGTAGCACTGGTTTCCGCACTGTACATGCGGGGTGAGATCCTACTGGTAATCGTGGTCGTACGAGTAACCGCCTGAACATTGTGGAGTGGGGAAGGCGGAAAGGGGTGGAGGTTCAAAATAACAACAGCAAACTCTGGGAAAAGAAAAAAACGCGCGCACACGCACAGACACAGTTTTCTGATCAGGAGATTTTCTCCTCTGTATGATTCAGTGTGTGTGTGTGTGTGTGCGTGTGCATGTATGATAGAAAGAGAAGAAAAAAAACCAAGAGGAAGAGGTAGTTAAACATGTTTGGAAGCGAGGAGGAAGAGGAAATGAAAGACGCAAAGGCTCAACGTGGTGATATACATGAGAAGCAACGAGGCCACCACGGGTGTAAATGGGTAACAACCACACACACACACACAGTAGAGCATTACACCACCGATTGTGTGTGTGGTAGTTCGAGTCACCCTGCCTATCGTTAAGAGAGAAAAGAAAAAGAGAATTGAGAGGAAGCCAACAGCCCAGTAACGACGAACAGACACACGTCATTTTTTTCTTCTTCTTAAGGTTCTTGTCGTTGCGTCCGTTCGTGTGTGCTTGTGTGAATATCCTTCAGCTCCTTCAGCGTTACCTGATGCTGCTCGCGCTGCTGGAAATCGGTGAGAGCATCACAGGGGAATACGCGCGCGACTCCGCCTCGTACCATTCAACCTCCTCCCTTCCCTTTTTGAATTATCATATGTAAAGACGTCCATGGACGTGGCACACATCCAGAGATACAGGAGCGCAGACGCACTGGCTAAAACAACAACAACAACAACAACAACAAAAAGCTTAGCCTCGCGTCGAGGAACCTTGGAACAACAACAATAATAAGAATCAAATAATTAAATACATAGTAGAACGAAGACAATATGTGAGAAAATTGTTTCTCTGTAAAGGAAGGAAGGAAGAAGAAAAAACGGAGCCACAAGAGAGACATGAAAACAAGTAAGTAAACAAAAGAAGAGGAGGAAGAAACAAACTAGAGAGGAAGAGAGAAAGAGTAAAACGCCCGTCGGCGGAATAGAAATAAACAAATAATAAATAGTAACAATAGTAAACAGAGAAATACGATGTCAAGAGATAAAATTCGAAAGAGCAAGATATTGAAGAAAACAAAACAGAAGAGAGTAAAGGAGAGGGGAGGGGTGGTGGTGGTGGGGGCTTCCGTATTTTGCTTTGTTTTGGCTGTGCTTCGTGTGTGTCTGCTGAGGAAAACCACGACGACGCATGTCCGTGACTGAAGCACCGCTTTTGCTTTCTCTCGTCAAAAAGTGAAGATCGCAGCAGAGAGAGAGAAAGAGAGAGAGAAAGAGGGGCCAGCGTGGGGGAACCCGCAGGCGTAGCAAACCGGAGCGTGAAACTCGCCGGTGATATCCAGTAGAAAGCGAAACATCGAATAATAATTCATAACAAGACGTGAAAGAAAAGAAATAGGGTCAGCGCCAACACACACACACACACACACACACGCACACACAGGGCTAACCACACTGAAGAGTTGCGCTCTTCAGCCTCGCCACAACAGGAGAAGATCACAGTAGTCTTACACGCAAAGTGCCGACACGCATCCAAACGTGAGGGAGGTTTCGCGTACGTGGATGGCGGGTCAGCGTCACGTACCACACGCCAAGTCTTTCTTTTCTGTTTTCTTTGTCTACAACGCAGAGGTGGAGGGGCTGGGCATGAAGCTCAACACGGAAGTCGCCGCGCTGGAGGTGCTTGGCGCCGACAAAGAACGCGAGAAGGCGCAGTCGCCGATCGGGGTCGTTGTCGACACCTGCTGATGCTGCTGCTGCCGCCGATGCTGCCGCTGACGGTGCGCAGGGGAGCCGCCTAGCTCCGCAGCCACGCTGCTTCGATCAGGGATCAAGAGCGCAGGCACGTTGCTGCTCACACTGCTGTTCGCCATGCTGGGGCCAGAGCTCGCACTGCGGGTCAACATGGGGTGCGGGTGGTAGTACTTCTGCTGTTGGGAGCCCACAGCTCGCCGCTCGTGCGAGCACTGCCGGCCACTGTACTTCCCCGGTGAGTGCGGCGATAGCAGCATCGCGTTGGAGGACGGCACGGAAAAGCTGACGTTGACAGAGTGCCCTGAGAAGCCGGACGTGTGCTGCGTCGTGGCCGACTGCGGGCGGCGGTGATGGCGCGACGTCGACGACTGCGAGGCTGAGCCGAAGACGCGACCGCCCATGCGCGCGTCGGAGCGCTCCGACAGCGCCAGCGCCGCCGCCGGTGGCACGCCAAAGCTCAGCAGCGCGGAGCTCGCGTGCACCGTACTGCAGAGATTCGTCGTGGTGTTGAGCGTCGTGGACGGGGAGGTGCAGGAGGTGTACGGGGAGAAGGAGTCCATCCACGCTACGCCGGCCATGAGGGACGGCTCCAACTCCCCATTCGGCGAGAGCGGGGTGGTGATGTTGCTGTCCACATAGCTCATCACCTCCGCGCTGTCGTTCAACGGGAAACTCGCACCCGTGAAGCTGCCGAAGAAGGTGGAGCGTGAACGGCGCAGGGAAAGCTGCGCGTGTTGCCGCGGTGAGTGTGGTTGTGATTGCTGCTGCTGCTGCAGTAGTTGCTGCTGCTTTTCCTGAATCAGCGGCGGTGCGTCTTCCATGTTGCGTGCGATAAACAACGCCCGCCGTTTGTGCGAGCTGCTCGCCGTGGACACGTTTGTCGAGAGTGGCATCGAAAAAAGGGGTGTGACGGCGAGGCCGTCGGCGAAGCTCACCATCGCGGTGGCGTTGGTGTTGGCGGCGGTGGTCGTAGTCGCCGCCGTGTTTGGCGCATGCGTCGGCGCGTGCGTGGGGGCGTGCACCAACTCCATCGGCAGCGGCGACGCGCACGACACCGAATAAATCGACCGCAGCGGTTTGGGGAATCGTCGGGTCGAATTGTATCGCCGCTGACGCTCCTGTGGCTGCATGGGACCCACCTCGCCCTCCGCCACCGCCGCCGACACCGCCAGGGCTTGCACGACTCCTCCGCTGCTCGCGCTGCTGAGTACCGTCGCCTCCTCGTCGCTGCTCCCTTCGAAGAGGTCGTCGGGGATGTCCTGGCGCCGCTGCACAACGCAGACGCCGTTCTCCTCTTCCTCCTCCTCCTCCTCCTGGAATGGATTCAGTCGACCGTTGTGACCACCACCACTACCGCTACCTGCATTGCAGCCGCCGTGCTCTGGCAAGCCTGCCAATCCGTTGGAGTCGGATGTGGGGATCATGCGGCCCAGCTGCCCCGGCGGCACCGTGCCCCCAGCTGCGCTGATGGAGTAGGGAAAGGAGGCGACGGACCCCACACAGTGGGCGGGCGGACTCTTGCGAAAACTCTGAAGCCGAAAGGATTCGTCTTTGCTCTCCAGATCCGCCACGCGACGACGACACCCGCGTGGGCCGCCACCACCGCTGAGGGTCTCCTGCCCGCTGCCCTGCGCCGTCGTCGGCGGCGACGGCGTGAAGCGACAAGGCAGGTTCGCGTCTGCGGGTGAGCTCTGCGTGCTGTCGAGGGGCTGCGTGGCGGACAGCTCAGCCGGCGCGGTCCGCGTCGTTGAGAGGGAGCGGGTGACCTCACCACCGCTGCACGTCTGCCTGCTGCCGCTGCTGCTCGAATCACTCTCGCTCCGCGCACTCGGCTGCTGCAGTGCCGCGTGCTGCGCCGTGCTGCCTTCCCCCATGGCCACGTTGCCAGGGCTGGCGAGTGGGTGTGAACGCAGGTGGTGGCCGTACTCCGTCAGCTCTTGCATGCCCTGCGCTTCGGAGTGCATCGTGGTAGCAGAGGCAGCCGTGCCGGTAGACACGTTGTTCGTGCTCGTGTCGTTGCCGTGGTACTTCGCAGTGATCTCGGCAGACCATAAAGGCTGCGGCACTCCCTTTGTAACGCTGGGCCGCGGCAACGTTTGCTGGGGTTGCTGCTGCTGCTGCTGCTGCTGCTGCTGCTGATACGGGGATAAATGGCCAGCCAACGGGGAGGCGAGTGGCACCGGAGGCAGCATCGGCACTGAGCCTGGACGCCTCGTGTTCGCCGACTCGGGCGTCGTTGGATGTGGAGCGCGCTGCGCCGAAGTCGGCGCCGTAGCGTACGCAGGAGGAAGCAAAGACGGTGACGACGACGTGGTCGCGGTGGTGGTCGGCGAGTGCTCGCCTGGTTGTTTCTGCCCGCGCAGGAAGCGCAGCAAACCCGGTGGGATGTCCGCCTCGTTCATCGCCTCTCGCACAAAGTCTCCGACTCTGTCGTCGGGAGACTCGCGACGTGAGCAAGAGGGGAACGGAGGGCGGCCGTGGGGCGGCTCGGCGATGTACGGCATCGCGCGTGTCTGCTTTGTCACGAGTCCAACGCCACCGCCGTCGTTAGGCGTCAGTCGATCGTCGTTGCTGCTCAGCGGCAGGTCGGCGCGGAGCGTGGCGAACCGTGCTGCGTCGCCGCCACGATGACGCACGTTGAGCACGGCGCCCAGGAGGGCGCTGGCGAAGGGCGATGTCGGGGCGCCGGGCGGCGTGAAGCTGTGCCGCGCAAATGGGGAGGCGGCCGCGGCGGGCGTTGTGTTTCGGGTAGGGGATGACGAGAGCGGTGGGCGTGGGTTTGGGGAGAGGGAGAGGTCCACGAAGTCGTACTGGAAGTCCGCATCGATGTCGTCCTCCAGCGGCGAGGCAGCGAAGGGCATCGTTGACGGCGCTGCTGCGGCTGCGACGACGGCGGCTTCAGCTGCGGCTGGTGGACGGCGGGGGAAGGAGTGCCCGGTGGATTCTGCGGCAGCCGCGAAGCTCGCGGAGGAGGAGGAGAGAGACTTACTCGTGCTGAGCGAGGTGGCGAGGACGGCGGCCCCGGCAACCACCTCGTGTAGACGACGATGATACGGCGTGGGATTGCGCAGTTCCTGCTGGGGATGCATGGGATGTGGTCAGAAGAAGAAGAAAAAGGGAAAAACAACAACAACAACAAACACACAAACAAAATAGGTTGGAAACGGGTGGGTAGAGAATCTCAATGCTGTCCCTTACGTGTGTTTTTCCTTTTCTGAATTTTGATTTTGTTGGGAGTGGAAAAAACAAAGGGCGCAGGGCGTCGCGCAGGCTTGGCGTCTCCTCTTCCTCTTCCTCTTTCTCCTGTTGATGAGAGACCTCCAACACAAAGCCGGCAGGCGGGAAGAAGAAGAACTAAGAAGTCAAGAAGAAAGGGGAAAGAGAGTAAGGTATCAACACCAGCAATTCCAGTTTAGAAGAGAAAAGAGAAAAAAAAAATCGAGCGAGACAAGTTCGGCAAGGGTGTGCACGTTTTTTTTTTTGCTGGACAGTACAACAGAGGAGAAAAGCAAAGCAAAAAGCAGAAACAAAGCTCGAACAGACAAGGCAAGCAGAGGGAAAGGACACGGGGGGGAGGGGGAGCAAATGCAGGACGGGACGAACGAGTACGCTGACGAGCCCCAACAAATCCGAAGGCGGCGTCAGTCGGGTCAAGCGGTTAAGAATCAAAATGAAAAACGAAAATGAATAGAATACAATAGGAATCAAGTAAGAGACAGCAAGATAGAGAAAGACACGTATGCCTTCACCCACGCACACAGAACTACGGATTAAGTCTCTCTCCGTAAAGCGAAAGAAGAAGGAAAAAATACGGCAACAACAACAACAGATAAAGGAAACACAGCAAGAAGAAACTATATATATATATATATATAGTGTGTA